GGACCTCTCTGGGGAGCGCATTCCATAGATGGGGCGCCACCGCAGAGAAAGCCCTCCTCCGAGTTCCGACCCTCCTAATTTCCTTCATGGAGGGTTCCTGGAGAAGGGCCTCTCCCGCAGATCTCAGGGGGCGGGCAGGCATATATGGACGTAAGCGCTCCTTCAGATAGCCAGGACCCAAGCCGTTTAGGGCTTTATAGATCATCACCAACACCTTGAATTGGGCCCGGACTTCAATGGGAAGCCAGTGAAGCTGACGGAGGACTGGAGTCATGTGAACGTAACGCCCAGTCCCCGTCAGCAGCCTGGCAGCTCTATTTTGAACCAACTGAAGTATCCGGACCGTCTTCAAAGGAAGCCCCATGTAAAGCGTGTTACAGAAGTCAAGGCGGGAAGTCACCAGCGCGTGTGTCACCATCGCCAGGAAGTCGTACCCCAGGTAGGGGCACAGCTGATTCATCAGCCGAAGCTGGAGGAAAGCGCTCCTCGCCGCCGCTGTCACCTGAGCTTCCAATGAAAGCTCCGGGTTGAGGAGCACTCCTAAGCTGCGAACCTTGTCCCTAAGAGGGAGTGCAACCCCATTCGGGACCAGGTCAAATCCACCCTCTCCGAAGCCCGATCCACCAACCAACAGGACCTCCGTCTTGTCTGGATTGAGCTTCAGTTTATTGGCCCTCATCCAGCCCATTACCTCAGCCCGGCACTGGTTCAGCACAGCCACTGCCTCACCTGGATTGGCGGAGAACGAGAGGTAGAGCTGGGTATCATCAGCGTACTGATGGTTCCACGGCCCACACCTCCTGATGACCTCTCCCAGCGGTTTCATGTAGATTTTGAACAGCAAAGGGGACAAAATAGAGCCATAGTCCCCCAGCACCACCTTCTGGAATCGGCTGTTGAGATAGGAGTGGAACCACTGCAAAGTTGTGCCTCCTACTCCCAATCCCGCTAGCCTATCCAGAAGGATACCATGGTCGATGGTATCGAAAGCCGCTGAGAGGCCCAGAAGAACCAACAGGGATGCACTCCCCCTGTCCTTCTCCCTGCACAGGTCATCATACAGGGCGACCAAGGCAGATTCAGTACCATACCCGGGTCTGAAGCCGGACTGAAATGGGTCCAGATAATCAGTTTCATCCAAGAGAGCTTGGAGTTGTCCTGCCACCACCCGCTCCAACACCTTGCCCAGAAATGGGATGTTGGCCACTGGTCTATAATTAGTGGCCATCTCTGGATCCAGTGACGCTTTCTTCAGGACCGGTTGGACTACCGCCTCCTTTAAAGGGGCAGACACCCGACCCTCCCTCAGAGAGGCGTTAACCACTTCCAAGATCCAGTTCCCAATCCCGTGCTTGGAATTATTTATTAACCAAGATGGGCAAGGGTCCAGTATGCAAGTGGTGGGACGTACTCATCCAAGCACCTTGTCCACGTTATCAGGCCGCAATAACTGAAATTCATCCATTAATTTTGGACCAGATGGAGGCATTGGTATCTCCCCAAAAACCTCTGAGTCACTAGTAGAGTCTAGCTCGTGACGAATCTGAGCGATTTTCTCCCTGAAATGCTTGGCAAAGTCGTCACAGCGGGCCTTCAAGGGTGGAACCAGATCTTTCTTAGGACCTGGACAAACCAGGCCTTGCACCACTCAAAAAAGCTCCGCTGGATGGCATTTTGAGGAGGCAATGGAAACGGAAAAGAAATTCTTTTTCGCCGCCCTCACCGCCACAGCATAGGCCCGATAATGGGCTCTCAAGTGTGTTTAGTCAGATTCATCCCGTGATCTCCTCCACCTACGCTCTAGATGTCTCCCAGCCTGCTTCATCGCCCACAATTCAGGTGTATACCAGGGGGAAGAGTGGGCTCTGCCCGGCGGGAGAGGATGCTTAGGAGCGATCGTGTCAACAGCCCTGGTCATCTCCCCGTTCCACAGTTCAACCAGAGCCTCGACAGGAGCACCAGTCTTGTTAGCCGGAAACTCCCCAGGGCCTTCAGGAATCCATCCGGATCCATCTGGCTCCGGGGGCGGACCCACACAATGGGGTCCGCACCCTTACAGAGGGAGAGGCCGCTCTCGAGCACAAACCTCACCAGGAAGTGATCTGACCATGACAGGGGTGTCAGACATAAATTACTCACCCTCAGACCACCCTCTTCCTGCCCCGTCGAGAAAACCAGATCCAGAGTGTGTCCACATTCATGGGTCGGGCCGATGACGTGTTGAGACAGGCCCATGGCCGTCATGGAGGCCATGAAGTCCTGAGCCGCCCCGGTCAGACCAGTCTCGGCATGGAGATTGAAGTCCCCCAGGACCAACATCCTGGGGATCCTCAACACCAGGTCCGAGACAGTCTCCGTCAGCTCAGGCAGGGAGACTGTTGGGCAGAAGGGTGCACGGTACACCAACAGAATCCCCAATCTGTCTCGGTCGCCCAACTCCAAGTAGAGGCACTCCAGCCCTGGCCTCGAAGGGACCGGGAGTCCCGTGAGGGAGATGGAGGCTCGGTAAACCAAAGCGACCCCCCCTCCCCTCCCCTCCCCTCCCCTCCCCTCCCCTCTGGGCATGGACGGTGCTGAACATGGCAGTGGCCACTGCCCCGCTCTCAGCTCCACTGGGCAAGGACGTGCTGCCACGGCACCCACATGTTTAGAGCTAACAGCTTGTGCCAGGAGGCAGGCAGAGAATGAACGCCGTTGCTTCCCCGGCCCCGTTACCGCCACACGAGCTCCTGAACTTGGAGCCCCTGCACTGGGCAGGGAGCTGGGCCTGACGGTCTTCTTGGCCCTTCCCTGTTCTACTCTTCCATTTTTCTACGGCAAGAAGGTTTTAGGGGTAGTCCTGGGGAAACTGGAGCTGGGAAAGAGGTGTGTAGGTCAGAGCCCAGGCAGAGGTTTCCGGGCTCACTCCCGACGTCTCTGCATTGAAAAGGTGCTTGGGTAGCAAGGCTGGGAACGGCTGTGTCCAAGGCCTCGGAGCACCATTGCCGGAGAACGGCCAGGCCTGGGTGGGATCCCCCAGCAGTCCGATTTGGTCCGCTAGAGTGCCAGAGCGTTCACGCCAGAGGGGCGGAGACGCCAGCCCAAGGGCCCTGTCAGCCCTGCTCACAGTCCCCAGGGAGTCCCATCATCCCCTTTCCTCCAGCTGCCCCTTTCTGGCTGGCTGTCTAGCGTTTGGTGGCGTTTGTCCTCCACTCTAAAGAAGCTGATCTTTATCTGCTATTGCTACTCAATAATGGTAAGTGTTTTAAACTACAAGATGCTCATATTTTTGGCCTTGCCTGCTTGCCTTTGGTCCTGCCCACCCCTGGGAATGCTTCCTCCGAGATGGATGGATCTTGGCGTTTTTAGCTTTCCCTGGGGCTACAGTCAGGCCCAAGCCTTTCTTTCTCCCCTGTGAAGGCCACTCCCATGTGGTAAGGATTCTTTTCTTCTTCCAGCAGGTGATGGGAGGCCACTGTGGAAAGAGAAGGCCCTGCCTGTCAACTCTGGAGGCTCTGGACTATCCTGGATGCTGCCAAGACGAACTGAGCAGAGCATCTCCCAGTATTCAGGTCAGGGGGAAGCTTCGGAGAACCAGCAGGGGTCATCCTCTGGTAACGAAGCAGGTGAATCTGTCCATTTCCAAACAGGTTCTGGGGAGAATCCGTACACATGCTGGGATTGTGGCGAGAGCTTCACTGGGCTGGATGTCCTGATTGCACATCAGAGCACCCACACTGGAGAGAAGCCATTTATCTGTGGGGAATGTGGACAGAGCTTCAACCAGCGCTCACACCTTACCACACATGAAAAAACCCACACGCAGGTGAAGCCTTTCTCTTGCCCCGAGTGCGGTCAAAGGTTTAGCAAGAAAAACGGGCTGGTGGCTCACCAGAAGATCCACACAGGAGAGAAGCCCCACCGTTGCCTTGAGTGTGGGCAAAGCTTCCTGCACAGGTTCGACCTTATCCGACATCAGAGAATCCACACAGGAGAGAAGCCCCACGAGTGCCCTGACTGTGGGAAGGGCTTCCGGAGCATGTCGGCCTTCCACGTGCACCGTAGGATCCACACGGATGAGAAGCCGTACCCGTGCTCGGCCTGCGGGAAGAGCTTCCGCCATCGCACGAACCTCATCGTGCACGAAAGGATCCACACCGGAGAGAAGCCGTACAAGTGCACCGAGTGCGAGAAGAGCTTTGGCGATGCCTCCTCGCTGCGGAAGCACAGGAGGGCTCACACCGGAGAGAGGCCGTACGTATGCCTGGAGTGCGGAAAAACGTTCTCTCAAAATGCCGGCCTGGTCCAGCACGAGAGGATCCACACAGGGGTGCGGCCCTACCAGTGCTCTCTCTGTCCCAAAAACTTCCGGGACAAATCGGCCTACTCTGCACACCAGAGGACCCACACCAAGGAGACTCCGTTTCACTGCCCAGTCTGTGACAAAAGCTTTGGCCATCGCTCCAACCTCCTCAAGCATGAAAGAATACACACCGGGCAGAAGCGGTACAATCCAGCTAAAGCTTTGTCGTAGGGCGTAAAGAGCTTTACCAAGAAAACCAAATTTCCTTACGCACCGGAGAACACCTTTGAAAGGGAAGGTGCAGCCTGCTCCTTACGCCACTCTTAATGAAACCCTATAATTTTCATTTTTCCACCAGGAAGGAAAATGATCAAGTTTCTTAACTTCTGATTAGTTCCACAATGGTTACATAGAACTTATTAATTACTGGAACAAAACTGTAATCATTTCTGTTGGAAGGTATATTGATCTTATGAAGGTTAATATGACCAATCCACTTTATTATCACTACTGTTTCCTCTCCCCACTTCTTTTGTTTTCATTATTTTGTTAGGATTCTTTCAGTTTTACTATATTTCCAGTGAACTGATTTAATGAGTAACACCATTCACATTTGAATGCACGTAGGTTATCAACAGATGGATGTGACTCTTCTGTTCAGCTCTGTGACTGCAGGAGCTCTCTGTGGTAACGTTTGAGGTACCGCACCGTTTTTCCTTCCTCGCCCCCTCCAAAATGCTCCATTCCATTCCACAGTGGGCAGCTGCCATCTCAAATCCCCCCCCCCGCAATGCAATGCACTACATGAATATTGCAGTGGAGAAGAACTGAAGATGGCTTCCGCCTGCTGCAGAATGGAGGCAAACAGCTCAGGCCTGAAGCAAGGCACTGCCCCCCAATCATGCCCGGGGGCAGGAGAGTGACTTGGTGGAGGTGCTAAGCAGCTGCACCCCACACAACACTGGGCAGCACCGAGGTTGCAATTGATGCTGGGAGACCTCCGAAGAAGCATCGCCTTGAGGGCCCCTAAAGTCCAGAAAGGGAGCCTTGTGCGAGATTTCTTGCCTTGGCAAAGACGGGCTTCCACCTGCCTGTGTGTGAGTTAAACAGACCCATCAGCCCGCATAGGCACCCCCACCCAGCTCTTAATGGGTGGACTTCCTCCACGCACCTGTTTCACCTGCCCTGTGCCACAAGTTAAAGGCAGGCAGGGTCTTCCCCCCCCACCCCCCGCAGTTTTGTCTTCAGCTCAATATTCATGGAACCCTCCATGCCTTAGAATGAAAGTTATTCTGGAATTTAGCTTATAGTAGCTCTGTATAGGCTATGTAGAAGCTACTTTTGTTTAGCTATTCTTTTATTGTACCTTGCTTTTTATTTCTTTCCTCCCAAGTTTAATAAAGTCTTTCTAAATTGGATGTTGGAGTCAGCTGCTTACTGGAAAGGTCTGAAGGAGAAGTCGCCCTACATTTGCTCCAGTTAATTTGGATTTTGTAATTCATGCATTTGAGCCAAAGCAGAAATTCTCTGAGCTCCATCCGGGTAATCCACTAAAAGGTGGTGGGGTGGTTGAGTGTGTATGGCCCAGCTCTTGGCCTACTATCACTTTTTTCTGGCGAGTAAAATCCAGGCTGTGTGGATCAGGGCCGGATTACTGAACAGGCGACTTAAGGGCCTGCTGGCCTACAGTCCCTGATCTTTGTGGTAACGGTGAACTTTATTCCTATAAAATGTTTGGCTTTAAAAAGGCCCTTCTCAGTGGCCTAACCTAGCAGGAACTATTTGTAATGGCACATACATTTTGACAGGCCAACGGAGAAGTTGCTGATTATAGTACGAGGCGTGTGTGTGTTTTGAAGTGGTATGTGAGACACCGATTTTGCTAGTGTTTTGGAGCCAGGTGGGGAGTGACGGTCGTGAAAGCTGCTGACCTGGTAAGGAGAAATTTGGTCTGTACCATTATAAATTATTATGCATTTGCTTTCTACATCTTAAAAATACCTGCAATTCTATGACATCAGATCATTTTATTTGTGTCCTATTTTATACACTGCCTTCAGTAGGTTTGGTCTGGAAAGACAGCATAGAAACATGAAAAGCGAGCAAGGAAGAAAGAGAAGCTTCACAGAGTGTTGTCTGCAAAAGGTTAGCTGGCGGGCGCCTCTCCCAGTTTAAGCATTTTGATCCCAAGGTTGGAAAGGATTTTCCATGACAGATCTTCAGAAGCATTCAGTGTAGGCCTGCTTTGGAAGGGTGGCATACATCCTTCTCACGATTTTTGATGCTTTTACTTTTGCTGTGACCTCACAGCACAAAGAGTTTCCTCTGTGTGAGTAAAAAGTAATCCTAGGGCAATGAGGAAGGCATTTTGTATGGATAATGTAAGGAGGACTGAACTGGTGGGGGCCGAGGCACGAAAGGTCGGAACAGCCCATATTTTATTTTATTTAGGAGTAGATCCAGGCAGGTCAATGCTGAATTATAACATCAGAAGCAAATAAGCAATGCCAGCAAAGCATCCACACTGATCCCAGCAGAGACCCTGCTGTTTCTCACAGGAATGAGCAATGATTCCAGTCTAGAGTAGGGCGTGTGGAACATGCGACTGTTCCAGTGTTGATGGACTTCAAGTCCCGTTCGCTCACCCCGGCTGTTGGCCGGGCTGCTGGGTGTTGCAGTGCACCTCTACAGGGAGCACCGTGCTTCTCCCAAGTGGCTTGTCCTGCACCCTAGGCATCGCCCCCACCTTCCCGGCTGATGGTCACCTTAGAATCCCTGCAGGTGGTGGGGCAGGTGAGGCCTGCGCACTCCGAGGGGCCCAGGGACCAGAACCCCGTGGAGTGCGAGCGTCTCTTCGCCATTGCAATCTGCTCGTCTGCGGCCTCTCTCTGGTCCGGTGACGCTGCAGCCACCCGGAGCACTCTGCATGTGGGCAGAAGAAGCGAGAGCCTCCGGTGGCGAGGCAGCAGAAGGAGCGGGCCCATGGAGAGGGGCTTGTCCAAGAAGACTCCCATCACTAAATGATGCAGTCGCGATGAAATCCATAACGGGGACACCCCCTCCTCGGTTCTCCCAGGGCCTCTGGGAATTGTAGTTCTGACGGCTTGCAAGGGAGCCCCCCCCCGATTTTTCCCGAGAACTGCAGGAAAAGATGAGGCTCGTACAATATAACCCCCTTCCGCAGCCTGCTGTGTGCCAGCTGGCTGGGGATTATGGAAGCTGCAGTCTGGCACATCGGAGGAAAGCTGCTCACACATCAACATCCAGATTGATGCTCGAAATGCATGATCTCCCCGCCTCTTCCAGTCGTCCGTCTTGTTTTGTTTCCCCCAATATTTGGGGGGGGGGGGTTGCCTGGCAAGCCAAGGGGCCACCTGCCTGCGACGCTTCCTGGACAGCCCTGCGTGTGAATGGGGGGGGGGTCCAACCCCGGATCACTTCCTGCTCCGCCTCCCTGGGGAGACGCGGAGAAGCGAGGCGGAGCCTTTGAATGTCCGCTTTGCATCTGCACAGCCCAGTCCGATGCCGTCTTCGGGCAAGCGGAGGATCAGGTGTGTGGAAGGGTGTCTTGCGGGTCAAGGCACGTATCTTTGGGTAATTCGCTTTCGAGGACGCGCTACCCTTCCTCAGAGGCACGGCGAACCGCAGATGGGCATATCTCGGAGTGGGGTGGGGGGATATTGGCAAAGGGAACCGACGTGCAAAAACTGCAGAGCGGTTGCTCTTTGGAAAAGCTTGTTGCACGCAAGGCAAACGCTGCAATAAGTATCGGGGTGGAGGAAGTGCCGCAGCGCAAGAACAAGCAGTGCAAAAACAAGCAGGCACCCACCCTCTCCAGAGCCCAGGTGGAAACTTCCCAGGGATACCGGAGATATTCTGCCGCAGTCCAGCTCTGTATTTGCGCCTCTGCTTGTGGCTTCCCGGAAGCAGCTGGTGGGCTACGGTGCGGACCAAATGCTAGATTGGATGGAGCCTCCCTTCCACCCAGCACAATTTTAATTACACCGTTATTCTGCAAGCGCTTTAGCCGTAAGAAATCCGTCCACAACCTTCAGTTCTTGGTGGAACCACTTGCTGGCTCTTCTTAGTCTGTCTTGTATTTCAGAATGCAATTGGCATTTCCAGAGGTGTGCCTGGAATTCAGGATAGGGCAGTGGCTCGCTCCACCTTTTTTTGGCCAGCCGAGTGGGGAGCAGGCAATTTTAGATGTGAGAATAGCCCTGCTGGGTCAGACTAAAGGTCCATCTCGTCCAGCACTGGGTACACACGGAGGCAAACCAGCTGCCCACAGGATCCCTCCAGCAGGAGGGTGCAAGACCTCCGCCTGCCCAAGATCCTCAGCAACGGGCGTGTGCAGGCAGGCCGCCTCTGGGGAAGCAGGGAGCTCATGGCCAGCAGGGCTAGTAGCCACGGATAGCTTCCTCCCTCATGAATTTGTTCAGTCCCCTTTGGGACCCATTCAGATGGGCAGCCATCCCCACTTCTTGTGGCAGCAAAATCCTTAATTTAACCGTGTGAAGAAATCCTTCCTTTTGTCTGTCCTAAACCTCCCACCCATCAGCTTCATGAGATGATCCCTTTGGATTGAAGTCTTTCAGGAGAAGGATTAAAATGTCCCCCTCTCTACTTTCTCAACACCATGCTTTATTTTAAACTCCTCTATCATGTCTCCCCTTCCTCACCATTTTTCTAAGCTAAAGGGCCCCAGTTGTTGTAGCCGCTCCTTGCCGGAGGGCTGCTCCGGCCACCTGATCATTTCTGTAGCTCTTCTCTCTCCTGTTCCCAGCTCAAGAATGTCCTTTTTCAGGTGAGATGACCAGAACACAATATTCCAAGCGCAGTCATGCCAAAGATTTGTATAAAGGGAGTAGGATCTTGACAGCTCCATTTTCTATTCCAACCTTGATTTTTTTTAAAAAAACAAACATGTTAAAAGCAGGACAGTATTTCCATGCTGGCTGTGGAGACAGGGGCACCCCCTCATCTGGATCCCACAGAGCCTGGCAGCCTCTTAGCCGGTCATAAAATAAGTTTGCAGGCTGGTAATTTTTGAGGGCAAGCTGGGATCCAGCTGGAGAGACTGAGATGTGAATTTTGTGATTGCAGGGGGACAAAAGAACAAGCATGTTTGCAGTCCAGGGGAGATGGTTTGGATGAGTGGGACCACAAATTTTATAGGCTAGGGGACAAAATAAGGACTACAGAAATACTCT